CTTGCACAGATGAGAACCCTGTTGGAAGAGCTGGCCTGTTCGTATTTCAAATTGATAGATCAGGGAGGGGACCCAGGTCTCTACCTCAGCTTCCTGGGGCTGTAGCTCCTGGCAGTACCTACCGTGTGGGCTCTAGGCCTCTGTAGCCTCTTGGTAGAACAGTTACTTATCCAACTTCCGCGACACACACCCCCTCTGTGAGACAGCATCCCTGTAATCTTGTTTCTAAGAAAAAGCAGAATGAGCGGGTGGACATCATGGTCCCTGATAACCAGAATGTCAATAAACAATGTGACAACATGTTTACTTTTCTGTTAAAAGAGGCAGTCCCTTCCTGACCACCTTAGTTCTGTAAAGAAAGAAGAATACAGAACAACAAAGATGAAGGGCTGAATAACAGAGCTGACTTGGAGGGATGGGACCCCCAGTCTTGGGAGTTGGGTGGGCCTGGCAAGAGGACTAAGGGAATTGTAAGCTGGAACAGGGAAGGTGAGACAAGGGGAGGAAATTAGGTCTTTGGTGTGTTCACCCTCTACCTACCCCCCCATCACCAAACCCACATACTGTTAGGTCCTGGAGGCACTCTGGGCCCCAGAATGGACCTCTGAGTTTACCCCCTACTCCCTGTGTAACCCCCCTGTTCCGGCTCACACCAACTACAGTAGCTCTCAGGTTCCCAGGCATCCCTGGCTGGTAGGATTCTCTGTGCAACTTGAATAGGTCCTCCTCGACCCTAGACTCACTGTCCCACTGTCACTGAGTGAAAGTACAGGGCTAAGGAGAGCAGGCCCTCCGTGGGACACTTAGAGATGGGCATTGTGAGACAGATCTTAGACTAGGAAAGAAAGAACAACTTGGATTCTGTCTTTACCTTTGGGAGGAAGGGTCATTCTGCCTTTCCTCCGGGGCCTGGTTTTCCTCCTGTTCTGTAGCTAGGAACCTGAGCACCCACACTCTGGGTAGAACTGAGCCCCAAAGCCAGGAGCCCAGGCTCCTGGACTCCTCTCTAGCAGGGTTTGAGCTGGACGGGAGCCTCCAGTCAGGCCCTGCATGTTGTTCCTTGGCTACGGGAAAGGCTGAGGCAAGTAGAAGCCAGGGATTCTGAGTCCATGAAACATGAATGACTCATGCTGGATGGCTCTGCTCCCTGATCCAGCCCACATTCCCAGGCCTTTGTTCCGACCCGCCTGGGCTCTGACCTTAAAGGGCCAGATCTTCTGAGGCACCACAGGCCTTCATCCCATGCCCCTCCCTTAGCCAGATCCCTGATGGAGGTGTTAGTGGGCTTGGGGATAAGGGGAAGAGGAGGCTCTACTTCAGGGTTTAGGGGAACAGCCAATCCCATCCTCAAGCCCAGGAGGTCAGGAAAAAAAAAATCTTTTCCTCACTTGCAAAGTTCCAAAGAGGGGACCTTCTTCAAAGCAATTTCTTCCAGGGTCTCACAGCAGCCACTACCTCTGACCACTCCTCCTTCCCCAGGCTCTAAGTCCACATCCATCACCTCCCGCCCTGACCAGGCTGCTTTATATGTCTTTGTTTCGGTTTGGTATCATGCTATATGGCCTAGGATAGCCTGAAATTCACCATCCTTCTGCCTCAGACTCCCCGTGTGTTAGCATTAAGGCATTGCCACCAGGTTCAGCTAGCATTGGTTTTCTTTAACTGTCTCTTGGCAGTTGTGTCTGGTAGGTTCCAGGCTATTGACTTGTGTTGTCTTCAGGTTCAGGTCCCCAGGGTCCTCAACAATCTGGGCCTGTCATATGGTGGCAGGCACTTTGTTGGGGCTGACACCCAGTACCCAAGCAGCTTCTTTGAACCTTGCACGACACCCCGTGGACATGGGAGAACTGGCCTTCAGGAGAGAAGCTCAGTAAAAGTGAAAAGCAAGCCAGAGGCCTGAATTTAGAGAGGCCTACACCTCCCACAGAGAGTCCTCAGTAAAGCGGGCTCTTAAAGAGACAGCAGCAAAAGGCAGGGAGGCTGGAGTGGGGGCTCAGTGGCAGAGTGCATGATGTTCTCATGTGAAACCCGGGTAACACACACAGGAGCATGGGGGAGGGGCTGAGAAATTACACTTTTTGCAGAGATTTGGAAGGATCTGTTTCCCAGGTACTCACCCTTTCCAGTACTCTTTAATCCCCAAGACCCACTCAAGGTCAATGTTCAAACACATGGCTAGAGGTATGAATTAAGGCTTGCCCATGGCAAGTTTTTAGAGCTAGCCCAGTCTAGCAACTCTTGAACCATGAGTGAGCTGCATTTGGAAGGAGGAGCAAGATACTGGAGCATGGATAAGGAGGGGCCTGGGAGGCGGTGCTGAGTATCAGCTCAGTTTGTGTTAGGGGTGGAGGGCAGCCTGTATGAGCCTGTTGATCAGGTGAGCCATCTATTGTTTTTAGTGATTCAGAACAGACCTTCACCAAATGGGCCAGGACTACCTTATAACCTTGGGTCTTAAGAGACCATTGGCCTTTGGGGGTTAGCCTTGAGATCCTTGGCTGTGTGAACCCACACAGAGACTCTTTTGAACCTCATTTCTAAAAGTTGTCACCACCTCCCCAGCCTCGGCACTGGCTTCAAGCCAGACCCCAGCAAAATCCAATGGGGAAAAGGTCAGAGAGAGACAGGAACATCCCCTGCCTTCTATGTCTACAGCTCTCTTTCTCCGATATTCTCTAGGCTCTGAAGGTCCAATTTGTGGGGAGGCAGGATGTGTTAGACCAGGATGGTCTCAAACTTACATAACAAAGGATGTCTTGAAACTTATTCATTTCTCTCTGGGATGTTGGGTTGGGTTTTATTTTTATTTTTATTTATTTATTTTTTTAAGATTGGCAGAATATAGTGCATGCCTTCAATCCCAGCTCTTCAGAGGCAAAAACATTTGGATTTCTGTGAGTTTGAGGCTAGCCTGGCCTACATAGCTAGGAAGCAGGGGCTGGATGGTAAGACTCTGGTGCGTGCGTGCACAGGTATATGTATATGTGTCTGAGTGTTCTGTCTGTCTGCATGTATGTAAGAGCACTATATGCTTGCAGGTTCCCAGGGGAATCTAGAAGAGGGTACTGGGTCCCTGGATCTGGAGTTACAGGTGATTATGGGCCACTGCATGAGTACTAGGTATGGAACCTGTGTCTTCTTCAAGGGCAGCAGGTGCTCTCAATAGCTGAGCCATCTCTCTTGCTTCTGGGTTTTGGTTTTCAATTTTATTTTTCAGTCTTGGGGGTTTGAATTGACTGCGTCATTCTGTAAATGTGAATCTCATAAAGTGCTTTACAGTTAAGAAAGGCATCCTTGCTTTCATCGTGGACTTCTAGCTTCAAAACAGCTCTGGGCACAGGCTCACCGCCTTGGAGTTTTCCTGGTCCTTGCCAGTTGACTTCTGAAAGCCGTTCTAGGTATTGGTACAATGTTATTAGCTGTGGCTACAAAGTAAGTATTACCACTAGGAGCTCTTAGCCCAGGAATGGGGAGAGGCGGCTGCGAGAACGAAACAAAAGCTTCCCCCTCACCCCTTGAAAACAAAAGAAAGCCAGCAACTCAAGGTGATGGTAGCTGCTCTAGCTTTAGGGGTTTTAGGGAAGCAAAGGACTTTATTAACTTGTTTTCTAACAGTTGTGAGGGTGCTATTCTGTTTGTTTCATTTTTTGTTTGTTTTGTTTTGTTTTGTTTTGAGACAGGGTTTCTCTCTGTAGCCTTGGCTGTCCTGGAACTCCCTCTGTAGACCAAGATGGCCTCAAACTCAGAGATCAGCCTGCCTCTGCCTTCTCTGCTGGGATTAGAGGTGTGCATGACCACCGCCTGGCAGGGTGCTGTTTTAACCCCCTAGGCAGCACCTTCAAACAATGCATCTCTCTGCTCTTTTCCACATAACTCAGGGAAGAATAAATGTTCTATTTGCAAGCAGGACCACCCAAATATTCAAATGAAACATATTTTTAACATTTTATAAAATAATTAAATGTGTGTGGGTGAAGGGATGTGCATGCCCATGCTTGTGGCGGTCAGAATTCAAAGTTGGGCATCTTTCCCCAATCACACTTCATTTTATTTGAGACATTCTCTCACCACACCCGCAGCTCCTGGATTGACTAGATTGGCTAGCCAGCAGACTCCAGAATCCACCCATCTCCGCCCCCCCCCCCCAGGGCCTGACTATCGAGTGCTGAGGAGCTGGACTCTGATCTTTGTGTATGCATGACAGGTACCTCCTCAGCCTCGAACTTGGTCCTCCCACCTCTATCTCTGGAGAGTTGTAGAGAGACTAGGAGTTAGGTGATTCCCTGGTAGGCATTACCTAGCCATGGGCCCTGTCTCAGGTTGTCTGCCTACTGTTGGACTCCATCTGACGCCTAGTCTCCTACAGGCTTTTTCTCCCACCAGCTGGCCCCCACCAGTTCAAGATTAGATCAACACAGTCTACACAACAGTGGCTAGCCAATTCAACCCTTCTTTCTTCAAACTGACCAACCCTAAATTAGGGAAGAAAAACACCTCAAAGACACACCACACACACACACACACACACACACACACACACACACACACAAAAGCAGCCCCTGAGGTGGAGTTTTTGGCTTTATTTAACTACTGACACTATCTGCTATTGTCTGAGCTATTTCAGATCTCTCTGATGCCACCTATTGAGCTCAAAATTTTTTCTCTGTGTAGCCTTGCTGTCCTGGAACTCACTCTGTAGATCAGGCTGGCCTCAAACTCGCAGAGATCTGCCCTGCCTCTATCTCCAGAGTGCTGGGATTAAGGTGTGTGCCATCACGGTCTGGCCCCTTTTCATTCTTTGACTGGCAGAGAAAACAAACCCAGTTAAGACCTCTAGGATTACAAGTATGTGTCACCAGGATCCAATCATACTGTCTTACTGGGGATCAAATCCAGGGCTTGATGGATGCTAGGTAAATGCTCTACCAACTACACCTGTAGGGCCTTCGCTCCTTTGGGAAGGGAATTAAAATCCCTGTATTCTTTCCCTTGAAGCCCCTTTACAAAATATCTTCTCTTACAGCATGGGCACTCCAACCCCCCAGGGAACCAGCTTCTCAATATGAACCATTACGCCACCAAGAAGAGTGTGGCGGAGAGCATGCTGGATGTGGCACTCTTTATGTCCAATGCCACGAGGCTGAAAGTGGTGCTGGAGCAGGGGCCGTCCTCGCAGTACTACACCACCCTCATCACCCTCATCAGTGTCTCTCTGCTCCTGCAAATAGTCATTGGCATTCTTCTTGTGGTCATTGGTAAGGACCACAGCCTGCAGTCAGACTGTCTGCCTTAGTGCGCCCCCTGGTGGTAGGAAAGGCCGCTGCATCCCACGTGAAACTTGCCAGCCACCTAAGAGCCAGGCTTCTACCCCTCCAAGTAACAGATCCTACAGCGAGGGCACCTCCTCTCCTTTCTCCTCATATCCCATGCGTGGGCACTCCTTGACAGCTGCTGAATGACTGACCCCTCTAGCTGGTATCAGTCTTTTATATTGTAAGCATACCTCCCCTCTTAGATGTTTTTGTTCTGCCCTCTTAGATGTTTTTGTTCCCAATTCCCTTCATTTGATGCACCTTGTGAATGCCCCATATGCCCATCAGAAGACCCCAACACATTTAAGTCCAGTGATGATTTCTTCCTGGAGGTCTCCAATCCATGGGTGGGGAGAGGGAAACTCTAGCCCTGCTAGATTGGCCTTTGTCCACCCACCCTGATCTCCTTGTCTCCACAGCCAGGCTGAACCTGAATGAGGTAGAAAACCAGTGGCGTCTAAACCAGCTCAACAATGCTGCCACCATGTTGGTCTTCATCACTGTGGTCGTCAACATTTTCATCACTGCTTTTGGGGCACACAAGACAGGCTCAATGGCTGCCAGGACCTCCAGCAATCCTGTTTAATCCCTACCTAGATCCCAGGTGAGGTGGAAGGCCAGCGGACCTCAGATCCAAGGGCTCACAACTGACCTCTGTGTCTGGCTGTAGTAGTAAGAGGGCTCTCCCTCCCTGCACCAAGGGGGAAGCTCTATAGGCCTGTGGACAAGGGAGTTCTTGAAGGGCTGATGGGCCTTGCACAGTACATTCAACATGAGGGGTGCACCACGACGGGTGTTTTTCTTTCTTATAAAGGAAAGCATTTAGTGAGGCTCATGTGTAAGTCTCCCCTTGTACATGTACCATGAATGCTGTGTTATGTCCACGAGCCAACGACGTACATGTGCAGTAAGTGTTGGTACCACAAGTACACAAATGTTAGCCTCCAACAGAACTTTCACAATTAGTGCATGTTTATAAGCATACTCCCCCGCCCCCCCAAAGTACATGCACCCTGAGTAAGTATATTCATGTTGAGTTTAAAGCATGGGCCTCTCACAGTACGTGCACCATGAGTGATGTGACACGTTACAGGCTTGAGCCTCCCACAAGTCGGTACATGACCACGAGCAGGACTTAGTGAGCCTGCCTGGAGGCCTTTGCCCTGAAGAAGTGATGATCCTTCCGTTCTTCTGCTGCTTGTTTTCAAGGGCCGTCTCCTGTTACCCAGGCTAGACATAATCTATGTTAAGCAATGTGCCACACCCAGCCCAGTTTTTAGGTAGACTTTTGCCCCCACAGCTTTGGGTAGGGTGGAGGGCCAATGTGGTTAGTGGATGTTGTGGCCTGTGGCTTCTACTTGGTGTGGTCGGGCAGTGTAGTAGTCAAGCAGTGCTTGCCGATGTCACTGTGGCACATGGGCCAGCAGCAGCATCCACAGTGCACCCTAGGAGCTGGCTGGGAACTGAACTTCAGGTCCCACTCAGGGCTGCTGAGTCACAAGTCACCCCCTTCTTTGCTTCCTTCTCCCGGATTCTCAGGAGCCTCATTCAGACCCACCCTTCCGTGTCTTTTGTCACAGGCCCTGGATCTGGAATGGCTTCAGACTTTGTCCCTGACCTGTCAGGCTAACTAGCACGTTCCACAGCCTCCGGGAGAACTTCAAGGGCAACAAAAATGCCCCTGCTTCCTGTCTGCAGCACCTGAATTAAGTTGTGCAGGGTTCCTGGGTGATGTAATTGCAACTTGGTCTGGAGGCCTGAGTTCAGGCTCTGCAACAGCCACCCTTTCCTCCAGCAACAGTAATTGGCTCTGCTAAATAAGGAAATCTACCCGGCTCACAGGCTCTGGTTCCACTGCATTCCTTCCCTCTGCCCCAAGCCTCAACTATCCCTTTCTGCAAAATGGGAATCTGTCTATAAAGTTATCTGAACATTCACCAAGTTGCTATCTTCAGTATTATGGGCTCTGAATCAGGCTGGTCTGTGGATGCCTTTGTCATCTGTGTCCTGGAAAGGGTTTATTGCCACCTGAACATCAAAAACAGGTCACTGACTTCTAGACCGATGAATATACACATGAGCTTTCTAAAGACTCTGCTATAAACTTATTGTACTTTTCACACTAATGGGGTCTTTTAGATGCGTTAGAAGAATATTCATTTTCAGTGAGTAAAGCCTGAGGACCCCACATGGAATGGGGTGGGGGAGAACCAACCACTGAATACTGACTGCCCTCTGACCTGTGCCTGTGGCACGCATATGCTACACACACTCTGAGTACGTTTCATTTTATTTATTTATTTGTTTATTTATTTTTGAGACAGGGCCATACCATGTAACTTTGGCTGTCATGGAGCTCACTGTGTAGATCAGGCTGGACCTGAACTCACAGAGATCCACCTGCCTTTGCCTCTGGACTGCTGGGATCAAAGGCACCATTAAATGGCTAAAAACTTAAAAAAAAAAAAAAAATAGGGGTACTAGAGAGATGGCTTAGAGGTCAAGAGCACTGTCTTGTGGTGATATTTTGTTTATGCTATAACAAAGCTTTCCTGAAGATCAGAGAAGCAAAGTAGCCAGCTACTAAAGAGTTCAAGTCATAACATTTTTTTTTTTTAATTTTAGACGAAAAAGGGGGGGAATGTGGTGATATTTTGTTTAAGATCTAACAAAGCTTGTCTGAGGATCAGAGTGCAAAGCCAGCCATAGCCATAGAGGCCAGGCAGTTACACCTTTAATCCCAGCACTCAGGAGATAGAGGCAGATGGATCTCTGTGAGTTCAAGGTCACTCTGGGCCACATGAGAGTGAATCAGTCTAAAAGAGAAACAGAGCTCGCGCCTTTAATCCCAGCACTGGGGAGATGGAGACAGAACAGAGAGAGGAATATAAAGTGGGAGGAGACAGGAGCTCGCTGTAGCCCTGGGGTTGGGGGGGCAGTGTAGTCGGGAGCAGGGTGAGGTCAGGACCGCCCTTCTGTCTGAGCACTGACAGAAGTGGGAGCTCTCTAGTGGCTGTCTGCTTTGCCCCTCTGATCTTTAGGCAAGCTTTATTTGTTACATCATAAACAAAATATTACCACACTGGCTGCTCTTCCAGAGGGCCTGAGTTCAATTCCCAGGATTCACATGGTGACTGACAGCTATCTGTGATTCCAGTTCCAGAGAAGGCAATGCTGGCTTCTGGCCTCCATGGGCACCAGTCAATCAGGTGGTGCACAGATACACATGCAGGCAAAACACCAATGAACATAAAATAAAAATAAATTTTAAAAAAATCTTGAAGAATTAAAAAATTGCCCAAGTCAAACATAACTAGGAAAGCCAGCTCACACTGGCAGAGCACTAATAGAGTACCTTCAATTCACTCAGAAAAGAGCTTTATTTATTTGTTCGTTCTTTTATTTAATTCATTTATTTAATTCATTCATTCATTTAATTCATTCATTTATTGAATTCATTCATTCATTTATTAATTCATTCATTCATTTTGACAGGGTCTTGCCTGTACATCTCATCTTCATGTCTCAGCTTCCCAAGTGCTGGGATTACAGCTGCACTGCTCCAGCTTCTGGGTGCTCCAGCTTCTGGGGGGAAGAGGAGGGTGTCCTCTAGCTGAGGCCGTGACCTCCACTAACCTGGGCTGCTGAGACTGTGAGACACAGTCAGGACAGTGTGCTGTTCTTCCCAAGCACACGTTGTCCTTTCTGTCTCAGCAAGCACCGAGTCAGAAGGCAAGGGATAGTTCTTAGCCTGTCAGTGAGCAAACGGCTGAGTCCCCGGCTCTTGGGAAACAGGAAAACTGCCCTAAGATGCTGACTTCAACGCCCTCTTTCCTCTCTCCATCTACAGCATTTTCCTTTCCCTTAAGGCAGATGGTAAGGAGGTAAGAGATATCAAACACAAGGCACTAGACCAGGGAGGGAGGTGCTGAGCAGGGTGGGGAAGGCCCAGAGGGCTCCCGGTCCTCAGAAACAGAGCAGGAGCAGGAGGGCTTCTGGGACTGACTCTGGCCTCCAGCACAATTCCAATTATCTAAGACTTCAGAGAGAAGTCTGGCACTCCGGCTGTCCAACTGCAGCCCTAGCCTACTTCCTATGTGCCTTTTCTAAAGGGCAGAAAACCTGAGCAGGGATGAGAAAAAGCCACAACCATTAACAGACCCACCTTGCCCTTCTGACTGTTTAAAGGCAAGGCCCAGCGGGTTCCCAGTGCGCCCCACTTCGCATGTGCCAAACTGTTCTTGGCACTCACAGAGCCCACCACATGGGTGCTGCAGCTCCAAATGCTGCACTTTGGATTCACAGCATGGAGGGCAGCCGAGGGGAGCCCTTTCTCACAGCAGAAACGCGCTACCCTGCCCCCTCTTCACAGACTGGTTTAATACCCAGTGTGCAATGCACCACTGGTGCAGCAGCAGCAGCAATGCAAAGTCCCAGCCTCGGAGCATGGGACTATTAGTGCAAGATAAGTATGTGACATCGGGGGACAGATGGGGTAGCCAAAGACAGAAAAGGTTAGGGGCTCTTGTCCCAAAATTAACCAGTTCTTCCTGCCCATGGCCTTGCCTCCCCATACCTCTCTCTGCCCCTTATCAGACAGCCAGGTTTTTCCTCCTCCTCCTCAGGGCCAGGAGGCTGGGGCTCTCTGGGCAGGAGGGCAAGGCCACAGGGGTGCAAGCCTACAGCACACATTTTCTTCCCTTGTCCTCCCTGCTTGAGTCCCTCCCACATTCCCTTAGGCAGGTGATGGGCTATCTATGTCACCTTTGGTGGCACCTCCCTATTATCTCCAGGTCTTCACTGGCAGGTGAGCCAAAGAAGGGGCATTTCTCTGCCTGCATGACCTTGCTGGGCCCACACAGCCCATAGGGACACTCGGGAAAATGGGCCCGCTGCCCATCTGCTTCCATCTCACACCCTGTTGCAGTAGGAGGATGCCATCAATGTTGGGGTTCCACTAACGAACCCTCTACTGTAGGAGCTGAGTTAATACCCAGTAGGTGGCCAGCTCTTCGGTGGCTACCAGGAGGGATGCGTGTGTTTGGAAGGCACAGACTGGGCCTGGAGCTGAGGTACTTCACATAGGACCCAGCACCTCAGTGGGTCTGAGGTCTGCAATGCACAGCTTCATTCCCAGTCAGTACTGGGTCTAGACATAAGTCTTCATTATCTGTTAAAAATCATCACCCCCAATACCTCCACCCCAAATAAAATCTGTTCCATTGAAGTTTCTGGTTCATGGTCAGTACTCCCGGTGAGGAGCACGGGGCCATGGGAATGCACCTCTGTGGACATGATGGTGTCTATTAAATCAGGTGCTTTCTTCTTGACCTCATTGCCCATCCTATGCAGTCATTCCAATCTGTCAACTCAGTGACGGCGGAGGAGCCCCGGCACTTGCCCCTGCATGAAGGGGCAGCTCCGGTGGAGAGGGCAATTAGTGCTGAGGCCTCAGCTCCTCATATTCCCTCCTCGAGGCCAACTGCACGTCAAGGGGCTGTAAGGGGCTGTCCCGGGGTCACGGCATCTTCATCTGGCGGTGATTCCACATGCCTCGCTTGGAATGGAAGTAGTGGAAAAAGTTCCTGAGGGAGAGCCGATCCACTTCCAGGCCTGCCTGGAGGATCCTGGAGGGGAGAGGGAGTGTTAGCCAGCAGAAGCAGGAAGGATACAGGCAACCTGCCTGGGTTGCAGTCACAGCTGTGTGACTCAGAAAGTTGCCTATCAAAGACACATCCCCAGCTCTATCTAGAAGAGGACAATAGTCTTACAAATGTGTGTGTGTATCCATCCTCTCTGATCACACACACACACACACACACACACACACACACACACACACACACACACACAATGGATTTGTAGCATTTAGCACAGTTCCCAGCACACACCAGTTGCTTGACAGTATCAGGAGACTGGAACTGGAGATACCACCCACAGACTTTCCCCATTCCTATTAGTGGTGTGTGTGTGTGTGTGTGTGTGTGTGTGTGTGTGTGTGTGTAAGTGTGTGTGATGGGGGGAAATCATCTTGTTATATAACCCAGGCTGGCCTCTGACTCAAGATTCTTCTGCCTCAGCCTCCTGTGTGTTGAACAGCCTGGCTTTTTTTCTTTTTCTTTTTTCTTTTAGTGCTAGGGATCAAACCCAAGGTCTCACAGAAGGTAGGCAATGTTCTCATTTGCACAGCTGCCAGAGGAGGGTCCCTTTCCAAGGAGGCCTATACTTCAAACAGGACTGCAAGTAGACAGAACCAGAAGCAGCCCTTTCCTCAGGTCTCAAAGACAGCGGGAGGGTTCAGAACTATTTTGGAGGTGTATATCAAATGTCATATGGGACAGTAACCACTACACTGGGCTCCCGTCCACTTCGGGGTCTACTGTGCTGTGGCTTCCTGTGACTGAGTTATTTGACAAAGCTCTCTGAACCTCTCCACACCCCACCTTTAAATCTCAGTATTTCAGTATTCTTCCTTCTTCTTCCCTCCAGTGGGAAGGCAAAGGTGGACCTGATTTTTAGGCCTCTGATGTTTTACAGTGATAGAAGGGGCTAGTAACTAACTGCTTTTCACGAGTGGTTTCCCCTCGGAGAAATGGAGACAACTGCATAGGAATTTGGTGAGAAAGATGAATGAGCCTGGGGCATGAACCCCACCTGCCAATTATAACAACTCAGAGGTTGGTGGCTGCACCTGGCAGGTGGCTGCAGCTCTCAGGAAGTAGCACACCTCTGGTGCCCCTGGCCTTGTCCCCTCCTCCTCCTGTGACATCCTTCCAACAGTTACAGGCTTTCTTTAAGTTCACATCTCAATGAGCACCCTCTTTCTTCCCCTTCTCTTTGGGAACAAACTTCTTGAAAAAGGACTCAAATGCGAACGCAGGGAGAAACAGGTTTCTCCCAGTCTTGCAGCCCAGCATCCACAGGTGTCCACCCAACCCTGCTTCTTGCTAGAACACTTTCCTGGCCCACCTGCCAAGTCCACTGCTCCCACTGTGTCCCGCCATTTCTCGCCTTTCTCCTTTTCTTTTTTGAGGGATGGGGACTGAGGCTGGGTCTTGCTGTGTAGCCCAGGCTAGCCTTGAACTTTGGCAATCTTCTTGCCTCCAGCCTCCCCAGTGCTGGGATTAGAGGCATATGCCACCACACCAGGCTAAGAATACAAGTGTATGAGTATATGCAAACACATGGTATACACTGGGTTAAGTGTTTTAGTCTGTCTTAGTCCCAGGCTAAATTTCCTAGTCTGCCCAAGATGTCAGTAAGTCCCATTGCTACTAATGCCACCATGCTGTCCTGCCGCAAACCCACCTCTTCTTCCCCTAAGTTGCTTTAGTTAGGTCCTTTGTCACAGTGATGACAAAAGTGACATATATGTGTGTGTGTGTGTGTGTGTATAATAGATTTGTATACAATATAATATATTTGTATGTAAAATGTGTATCTATAAATATATATTTGTAGATGTAAGCGGATTTTTCCATTCTTTAGTACTGGGGATTGAGCCTGAGGCCTCATTCATGCTAGGTAAGTGCTCTATCTGCTCTGAGACTATTCACTACTTTCAAAACCCCTTCCCTTCTCACCTCCAGGAACCCAGACCCCTTGGATATCCTGTTGCTATCCTACAGCCTATTTTTCTGGCTCCCAGCTCACTCCTAACCCTTGACCCATCTTCCAGTGTCCTCTCACAGCTTTCAGGCCCTCCGCCAGGCAGCCATGTCTGGGAAAAGCATGATCCCTGGCTGGGGAGAAAGCTCCTGGGAACCTCGCCTGGTCCTAAGAATATCATCATCTTCACTGTTAACTCCAGTCTCTTGCTTTACCTGTGACAACCCAACCGACCACTCAGACTGTGACACACAGTGTTAGTGTCATCCCTGTCTGCTGGAAACACAGCCAGCATGTCAGTGAAGCTAGCCTCCAGACCAGTACCCTTTTCCATGCCCTGGGAATCTGCAGCACAGCTCTGAGGCTGTGGTTTCGCTGCCCTGGGACTGGATCTCCAGCAGATCCCTAAAGGCCGTGTTCCTGTGTCACCTGTCCAGCAGCTCCCAGTCTTCCCCTCCCCAGCGGTCTCGGAACTCCTTGGTGTTCATGCCCCCAATCTTGTCCAGGTCAGACTTGTAGATGCCAAGCAGTCCAAATCCATTGACCTCCCAGTAGCCTGTGGACAGAGAAGACACTCAACTAAGAGGAGCTAGATGCTGTGTTTGAACAGGCTTTTCTGAAGGTAGAGAGTTGGGCGGCAGAGGCCGAAGACTGTCAGCTAAGGAAGTCCCTGGGCTGTCTGGGGGAGGACCCCTACCAAAACTTGAGGTTCAGCAAACACAGCAGTGACCATAGACTGATGTCAAAACCTAACTGTAGCCCAGCAATTAGGACATGACCCCAGCAGCGCCACTGGCAGCTGTGAGTTGGTTTTCTTGTCCATTTCCTCTCTCCACCTTCCTGTCTTCTGGGCACAGCACCCAGCACATAGCAAATGCTTCACGAATGTCAGATGAATGCATGCTGGAGGGGAGGGGAAAGTACCACTGCTTTGCCTGCCACTGTGGCTGTCAGTAAAGCTGGGATATGTCCAAAGTCCAGAGAACACAGAAAGGCAGGATGGGGAAGAAGCTGATGCTTAGGCATACACTGTTCCAGCCTTGAGGTTAAACACCAAGGTCAGGGGGTGTCTCCTCCTTCCTCAGCCAGGGCAAGGCTCACCCTCAGGCCACTGTGGGGTGGCCCCACAGTGCAGCCGCATCACTATGGGGGCAAAGGCCATCTTGCCCTCTACACAGTGCTTGCGGATGGTATCGATGATTGTTGCTGGAAAGTGGATGTGCAGGTCACAGAGGAAGATGATGCTGTGTGGGTCCTGGGGATGGAGAAGACAAGGTCAGAGGACATTTGGACCGGAGCCGGGAGACGAGACTACTCTCTAGAGCAGTGGTTCTCAACTTTCCTAATGCTGTGACCCTTTAACACAGTTCCTCATGTTGTAATGACCCCCCACACACACCATAAAATTATTTGTTGCTATTTTGTAACTGTAATTTTGCTACTGTTGTGAATCGTAATGCAAATACTTTTGGAGACAGAGGTTTGCCAAGGGGGTCACAACACACACGTTGAGAACTACTGCTCTAAAGACATCCTCAGGCCCTTCCCTACTAGAGTAACTGACAACTTACACAAAGCTAAACACTAGGCAAATTTCCACAACCCGGGGTAGCAGGGCTAAGTCCTCACACCACATGGTGAATTCAGAATCCTCCTCCACTTTCTTTTGAGACAGTCTCAGAAGACTGGTCTGGGATTTGCTGCACAGTCCAGGTTGACCTCAACTCATGTTCCCCCAGCTCTGCCTCCTCAGCGCTGGCATTATGTGCATGTAGCACAATACCTGACTTGTGCCCCATGTTCTCGTACCCATGATCTCGTAGTCTGAGGATTCCGACACCTGAGCTAACCCTTCCTTGCTATTCACTTAGTCCCCTCACTGCATTGAGTCTGCAGGGCAGTGTCAAGCATGCTCCTTGCTAAGGTTTCAAAGTATCTCCCAAAGGCCACGGGTTAGAGGATCGCTTTCCAGCCACAGCAATAGAAAGCAAACGAGGATGCTCAGGTTATCTTGTTAGAGTAATGGACAGTCCTATGACCCAATCCCGATCCTACTAAGGAGCTGACTACCTTATGGCTTCCAAATGCTTCTCAGTCTCTTAACTACTCTTGATCACCTTCCCAATCCTCCTTGAGGCCATTACCTTCACCAGGTCTATGCCAGCCTGTAGTCCGGAGGAACGCTCAAAGTTTCCACTCAGCCTCAGGTACTGGTAGCTACAGGAAGAGAAGGAGGGACCAAGTGTGAGGATTCAGCTGTAGAGTCCCTACAGGAAGTTGGAAGGCACAAAATATAGAAGTGGGCTCTCCAGGGTTGTGGGCAGGGATGTAAGGCTGAACAATGGGACTCAGGAAAGGTGGCCGCAACTCGTTGTTTCTACCCTGACCAGCATTCCTGGGATGTTGGCACAGTGGTAAGCTAGCTGCAGCCAGAGGCCTTCCTCACCTCTTCAGCCTGGACCTCTTCAGAGCCATCTCAACATCCATGTCCTCACTGCTATAGTCTGTGATGATGATGTTGAAATGTGGGTCACCGGTGACTTGGGACAGGCTCTCCATATCTCTGATGAACTGCTGTACCCAGCGAGCCTGGTTTTTCACTGTCCAGGTAGGACAGGGAGAAAACAAGAGTTAAGGAAAGGCAAACATCTCTCAGCTCTGAGCCCAGTCAGGAGTCCAAACCATCAGCCTCTACCAGGGAATAATGCACGGGAGTCATTAGCATGAACCACAGGGACCCTAGGGAGGGGTGGGGCTCACCAGCCCATGACCATCTATAGCTCCCCAACACCTCCCAGGCAAGACAGTCTTGGGTGGAACTTAGGGCAGCAACTCTGCCCAGCTTTAACAGACCTTTGCTATCGATCCATCTTACTCATACCTTTCCTCTCTTATCCTTCATTCTTACACACTGCCTTGTGTTTTCCTTTCTCATTGTAAAAACCACTCCAGGGCTGGAGGTGTGGCTCCATGCCTTGCTGAGCTCATGCCAGGTCCTATATTTGATCTCCAGCAGCACAAAAAATAATCAAACCAAAACCCACTTTATATAATACCCTCATTCTTATTTCTTCAACAGCAACCCAAGTGGATGCTCACACCCAACCCTGAGACCTAGCATGACAGAAAGTAGCAGCTTCAACTCAGCATGGGATCTCAGCTCCATTGTTCGCTAACCACGCAACAGTTCGATCTATTTTCTTTTGTGAATCCCAGTTCCTCAATGGCAAGGTGGCTTCACTCATAAATAAAACAGATCCAGTTCTTGCAGTGATCACTAATCTCCCCCCCCCCCAGCTAAAGCTTACCAGGTGCAATAAAGTGGACCACAGCTCGATGGTTCCAGGAGAAATTTTGGGGCCAGCATAGCTTTGGCTCTGGATCCTGGGCATTCAGTACATGTCTGTGACTACGGGGACTCCAAACCAGGCCCTGTAGGTTCCGGGTTTCTGTGTCCTCCCCAGCATTGATGTCATTTCCTTTCCAGCCTCGAGTGGACACGTACTCTGAGAGCCTCACCAGGCGCTGGCCTTCCAGCAGTTCAAGCTCCAGGAGATAGCGCCCTCCACGCAGCCGGTCCTGGCGCTTCTCCACATTCAGGATGCGCTGAAGTTGGTATCTCCTGAGAGACAGAGTAGTTACAGTGAGAGGAGGGTGTGTGGTAGAAGTCTGCAGGGCCAGTCGTCAGGAGATCCCTAAGGCTGACCTCAAACTCACAGAGATCCACCTGCCTCTGCCTCCCAAGTGCTGGAAGTGAAGGCGTGCACTACCACTGCCAGACATGATACTTTTTAAAAGATAACAAAGTATATAGGATATACTGAGGCAAGACCTATATTCCAGACCTACATGGGTTCAAAAGCCAACCCAAAATAAAAAACACCAAAATCCAAGTATCAAGAGTTCTGCTTATGAGTCCAAGGCTAGTCCCATCCAAATAGTGAGTCCCGGACCAGTCAAGGCCATGTACAAAAAGCAAAAGCCAGCCATGGTATCACATGCCTGTAATCCTGGCACTTAGGAAGAGGACACAGAAGGGCACAACAAAAACAAACCAAGGTTGGCCTAGGCAACACAGTGAGTCTCCACGTCAAAACAAAACAAAACAAGATCAAAAAGAGGCGGTAGATGGGCTAGAACGATGGCTGGCAGTTAACAGCTCTTGTCCTTCCTTCCACAGGACCTGGCTTTGCTTCCCAGAGCCCACATGGTGGCACTAGCACCCTCTTCTGGCCTCTTAGGGTACTAGGCATGCAGACAAAATACTCATGTATCAACTAAAATAAATAAATAAATCCTTTAAAAAGTGGTTAACAAGAATATGAAAACATATTTAGTACTGATAATCATCAGGGTAATATGAAAAAGATACCATTTCACCCCAGTAAGATTGACAGCCGTCAAGATGACTAAATGACAGAGTAAGAGCCATTAGAGAGAATGCAGATGAAAGGGGGCTCTCTCAAACACGGGTGGGAGTGTAAGCTAGTACAGCTACTAGAGAAAAAATCATGTGTGTGTGTGTGTGGGGGGTTCCTTAAAAAACTACAACTAGAGTTACCATCCAATCCAGCTATCCCACTATCCAAAGGAACTGAGGTCAGCCTTTTAAAGACATCCGCCCTCGTGTGTGCATGCAGCTCTAGTTACAATTGCCAAAACGTTGAACCAAAGTACTTGCTGTGCTGACGAGGCAGGAAGATAGACAGGGCTAGGAGATGAGGAGGGTGCTGGGGAGAGAGGCAGAGAGGCGCCACGAGGAGACACCACGAGCGGCTGAAGGAGTAACAGATCCGGACCCCTTCTCCGGGAAGATGAGACCACGTGCAAATACTTAGATTAATAGAAACGGGTTAACAATTGAGACAGAGCTAGCCAATAAAAAGCCTTATCCATCAGCCAATAATTTAATAATTATTATGTCCTGTGTGCTTATTTGGGACCTGGTAGGACAGAAACTTCCATCTTCAGCCTGGGAAGAATGGGGGAGGCAGATAGAGGCAGACAATCAGGTACAGGATACACCTGGATAGGTGGGGTAATGGGGGGGGATTGTTTAATAATAACTAGCAGGAAGGACTTTCCCTCTCCTCTCCATTCCCTGTCCTCAGGACTTGAGGTGTAGGCCTGTAATCGCAGCTCCTCTGGAGGCTGAGGCAAGAGGATCTCAAGTTCCGGGGCCAGCCTTAATAACTCATTGAGACCTATCTCAAAAAGAAAGAAAGGAAAGGGCTGGGGACAAAGCTTAGCAGGGCAGCACTTGTCATGCCTCGTTGGTGTGAGTGCAGGAACCCAAGCTAACACAAAGAGAATGGAAATGCCCTGGAATTATTAGACACTAGTGATAGCTGAACTCTACTGAGAAGGTATTTTTAAACCCAGCATGCTTGTACCCACCAGCATACTGAGTCTAATAGCATGTGAATTTTCTCTGAAAATATCTTGATTGATTAAACAAATCAACATATAGAGATGGGGGGAACCCTGTGAGGGAGAAGGAAAGGATGAGAGGTGAGGGAGGGCAGAGCTCTAGCCACGCCCTCTGAGGCTGTGACTTAAGCTTTCAGCCTGCTTTGCTTGCTTCTCTCCTTCTCAGAGGGCAGATGCTAGTCTACCAAGCCTCGCTAGTCCTCAGCTCCAGTCATGGCGAAGCCACACAACCTTCTCTCACCCCAGAATACCAGCCAAGGTCCAGCCCCCGGGTCAGGGTCCCTGAGGGCAGTGGCTGCCATCTACCCATGCCCCAGCTCCAGGGGAACCCTGTACCTTACCCCCGGGTCCTCTGGTTGAGCTTTCTCAGGAAGACCCGTATGACTTCCAGGGCCTCCTGCTCCGGAAGCAGCAGGTTGCCAGACGTGTTACAGCTCAGATCAATCCAGTCAGTCCTCAGGGCTTGGAAGTCCAGGTTCTGAGCACTGAAGGTCTGGCCCCAGTTCACCACCGGGTCGAACACAGGCACGAATTCCAACACCTCGCTCATGTCTTCTTCGTCCTCCTCTTCCTCCTCTTCCTCCTCCCCCACCTCTCCTTCCTGGCTTGCTGCAGCCACCACTTCCTCCTCCCCATGCCAGCCCCTGCTGGGGACCTGGGGCTCTATGCTGTCACCCCGTCTCTGCTCGGCAATGTAGGACTCCACCTGTTTCAGCCACTGGGACTGCTCCAGAGTCTTCCCAGGACTGTCACCAGTGGGCCCAGATCTCTGCAGGAGAGGTAGGTTCTCTTTGTCAGAATGAGACAAATCCTGGCTGGGCACAGGGGTACTTTTTTCTTTCCTTTTTCCTGGCTGCTGGCCTGGGATGTCATTTGTCCTGGTTGGAAAGGGGGGTGTCGAGTTCTGCTTGGAAAAAGGTGCCAATGGGCCACTCTGTGGATGAGCCAAGAGCTTCCGAAGGTGATAGTCAGTGACACCCAGCCCCGGGGGGAAAGTAGCCTTTAGGTTTCTCCCTTGTGTTCCAGTGTCCTGGTCTCCGGCTGCAGGGCTTTCCTCTTCTACTTCTCCATATTGGGATTCTTCTAGAAGACCATCCTCAGAATCTGTTAAAAAGCATCCCTCATTTCAGAAGTTTTCAACTCTTCCCCCAAAAGACACAGAACAGCAGAGGTTACACATGTGACATTTCCAAGGGGTCCAGGTGGGGGTCGTTTGTTTACCAAGGTTGATAGGCAGTATGGTGGTGTATACCTGTAATCACAGCACTTAGAAGGTAGAGATAGGAAGACTCTCACATAGTTGAGTCTAGCCTGGTCTACACAGCAAGTTCCAGGCTTCCCTGAATGCCACAGTGAGACTTTGTCTTAAAAAACAAAAGCATGTATGCAAACAAAGAAAGGCTCAAAAAAGAAAAAATAATGCCAACAGCCTCTTAGCTGAGTGACATAAAATACCTCACAAGCACCAGCACCATTTAGGGTTCAAAAAGTGACCTCAGCCATACCCTGTCCCTCACAAAGGAAGGCCACAGCAAGACAGGGTTTCTCCATAGCATGCTTCCCAGCAGCGTACAGAGCCAGGGTCCCCACAGCCACCCATGTCTCCAGCTGCCCTGGGCGTGAGAAGCATCTCTGTCTACATAGACCTGAAATGGAAGGCTCCCTGGATTGTGATGAGGGGGATCGGTCAGGGGATTTGCATGCTAAACTCTTCCGGTTGCAAGGCTGCATGACTAGAATGTTCACTAGAAAGAGACCACAGGCCGGGTGTTGGTGGCACACACCTTTAATCCCAGCACCGGGAGGCAGAGACAGGTGGATTTCTGTGAGGCTAGCCTGGTCTACAGAGCAAGTTCCAGGACAGGTTGCTACAGAGAAACCATGTCTCCAAAACCCCCCCCAAAAAAAAAAAGACAGAAGAAAGAGAGAGGGAGGGAGGGAGGAAGGAAGGAAGGAAGGAAGGAAGGAAGGAAGGAAGGAAGGAAGGAAGGAAGGAAGGAACAGACAACAGCCACTGCAGGTAGGTGCGCCCTGACAGCCTTAGCTGCCCTGGCTTCTGTACCTGGCTGCTCCAGTCCCCGCTTCTCTGACTTGTCCAACTTGATATACTCCTGGAAGCCAGACCTGTAGGAGGAAGACAGGGACGTGTGAACGACACCAGATCCTTCACGGCTTCTACCTGGTTGGGAGTGGAGAAAGGAGCTGGGACAGTATGTTCTGTGAGGGTACACACACATGGTGATGTGAGGAAGAACCAGGGCTCCTCAGTGTGGAGGGCCCCTCCGGCCTAGCCAGGCCCCTCCTGGCTCCTACAGTGCCCCCTGAAAGTCCCTCCATTTGTCCCCTTCAGGGTCGCACACCTGTCCTGCTTATAGGAACTCCCTTGATAGAAGCATTTATTGTGGGTCTCCATGTGGCTCAGGCGGGTGTAGTCATTGGGATAAACAAAGGACAGATGAACCTGAGAGACGAGAAAACAGGGGCATGCGTGAGGGGAGGAATCCTGGGAGGAACCAGCCTGCCTGGGCTGAGCCACACCCGGCCGGACACGGGGAGAAGGCCCCTTCTCCCTTCGGTGAGGAATGTCAATTTTGGTTATGCAGTCTAGACTCCAGACTTCTCATGCCTGCTCTTTTGGGCTCCTGGTAAAGATCCCTGGGACACCTGTCTCCCTTAGGTGTCACCAAGACCATTTCCTCTTCCCGTTGCCACCTGATCCCCTCCTTACAGTTCGGGGCCTTTCTTTATCCACTCAATTACGGCCCCCACTCTCTGGCCTGGCCATGACTCTTGACCACTTCCTTCTTGCCTGCAGTCCTCTATCTTCAACTCTAGGCCTGGGTGTATGGCGTTCTTTCTGCTCCCTCACTCTCCACACAGATAATGCTACTACCCACATCTAGTACATTTTCCCAAGCATCTTGTCTGTGAGTTTAAAATGCCACCGGCTACCCAGTTTCTGGGACTGAGCAGACAGGACAGGGTTTGAGTGGCCCTTGGAGAAGAGTCACTAGGCTACTGAACTGGGGGAAGGGGCAGATTCGAAGGCAGAGCATCCATCTGCAGGACAGATAGTCCACCCTAGAGAGTCCATCCAGGGATGCAGCCCAGGGACTTGAGAGGCCACACTGTCATTCGGGCTAGGGCACAGGAGGCACAGAGTCGGCTTTAGTCCGTCCCCCATCCCCTACACCCCCAGCCACAGGCAGCAGGCCTTCTCCCAGCCATCCTTGGTTTGGGACATGACTTACAAAGCGGAGACCCTGGTAGCGCCGTAGCGGGATCCCATCCACCAGGTAGCTGGGTTTGTAGGGACAATCAGGCAGGACGTGGCGCAGAAGAGACTTGGGGACGAGAGGCACTGAGAACAGAAGGGAAAAGGATTGAAGTGTGTGAAGAAACCAGAGCACAGACATCTTCCACCGGAGCTGCCTCCAGTTGTATTCACTGAGGGCAACTGTGGTCCCAGTCCATGTCTGTCAGCCGAGTCTGCCACAATGAGGACTCCGAGACAGGGGTCAGTACAATTGGATCACTGTCTAGTGACATTTTAATAGGCCACAAGGCTCCACCTCAGTAGTCTCCCATTAGCTGGATTTCCTCTCTTTCCTGCTGCCCAGTTTTCAGTTTTGTTTTGTTTTGTTTTGTTTTTTTTTTTTGAGACAGGGTCTGCGATGGTTGCAAATGCAGGTTCTCCTTGCCGTATCCTCCTGCCTGCTGGGTCTGCAGATAGGTGATATGTCCTTTATTTTAAAGGGAGGAAATGGGGCACTGTCAGCTTTTAAAAGGAAAACATGACTGCTGGGGATGTGCTCTGTGGTACAGAACACGCGCAGCTACAGGTTCCAGATTCAGTCCTGGGCATCAAAATAAAAGACTAACATATTCCTTACTGGACGATAAGAGTTAGAAGCCATAAAGAGACTGACATTTGTGGCCAGCGAGGACTGCACGAGACCATCTGGACCCTAATCCTGTTTCTGGTCTTGGGGGGGTGGGGTTGATCAGACAATGTCCATTCTATAAAGATTTGTAAAGTCATAAAATTGGACATAAATGCTCTTGTGATTCCGGTATGTACATTATGTTTCACACTTCAAAGGGGAAAAGGTTTTGTGACTTCGGGGTTACTGTAGAATAGACAGGTCTCCTGAGTCTTGCCCATCAGTGCAGAGAAACTGGCATGTGCAGTCCCTAGAGGTGGTGATCAGTGTGTGGCCAAGGATTTACCTTGATAGAGGGTGTCCCGAGGGTCAGGCCGCAGCATGTCAGCTGGCGGCTGCTCATCAGTGGGAAGATTGTTGGAGGAGCTCACGTGGCTGGCTGCTGTCTGTGGGATGTGGCCCACCTCATCCATCCTTAGGGTGGTCTCATCTGTGGCCAGGGAGGAGAGAACAGTAGGAAGCTTGCAGAATCAAGTGGGCTTTGCAGGGCAGGTGGAGCTCAGGCACAGCCTCGGTATTCCTGCAGGTGAAGTGTGAGCCGTGCCCAAGGCCCTGCCCGATTTGTGATTTTAGCTGGCGGCTTTGAGCCTGCTTCACCTCATAGTCAGTGCACATCGTGATTTTGTCTAGACGAGAAAGACACCTCTCCCCCTCAAATTGCTGCACTGCTGATCTGACAGACACCTAACTCAGCCGTGTTATTTACTTTCACTTAGCCTATGCCTATACCATACTTCCTGGGTATTCCTGGCCGTGCTGGGGTTTGAACTGAAAGCTTCTCTCTAGTTTCAGCCTCTAGGGTGGGCAGCCACTCATACACCATCTCTGCGTACCATGTGAACATGGTGAACCAAGCTCCCCCAGGCATCCACAGTGGCCCTCCTTCGTCCCCATCAGCTACAGTACTGTTTATCACAGCCGAAGCTAGGGCTCTGACTCTGGCATTTTTAGTCCTCAAGACTGTTCACACCACCTCTCTGAAGCTGGTGGCCAAGCGCCCACAAGGAGTGGTGTAACTGGGTGAAGGTCATGGGAAAAAATTTGTCAATAGTAAAAGGTTTCTGGTTATACCACACAACATCGACTTTGGTTCCAAACATATGATACATGTACTTTGCCACACACCTAGCAAAACCAGTGAACAATCCCTGAAACACTAGCTCAGGCTCTTCTTTATTGTTGTAACAGCATTGACTGCCCTAGAACTTGATTTGTAGACCAGGCTGGCCTCGAACTCACACTGATCTGCCTGCCTCTGCTATCTGCCTGCCTCTGCTTCCTGAGTGCTGGGGTTAAAGGTATGTGCCACCACCACCAGGCTTGAAGTTTTATGATCAATGATAGGAAACAAAACTGTGAGCACTTTGAAAAGCTGTTAGGTGGATTTTGGCTTCAAATTAGGACAGAGTTTCCAAAAGGACCCTTAACATAACTTTTAGTCTGTACCATTGTTTATGCTGAAAGTGATACTCCCAGCAAGGATTTATGCAAAGTAGTGTTCTTGAAAGACTTTAGTTTGCAGAGCAAGGATGTAGGTAAGGGGAAGGAAAATAGTTCTTGCAAGCAGAATATAGAAAATCACAAAGAATGGACTTTGACATGGGTAGAAAGATCAGGAATTATGAGAACAAGAAAGGTTACTATGGTAATGGGGCTAGTGGTTATAAGCTAGGCTGATCTTGTTAAATAGGGCTAGTTACTGAATTATCAAACTTTTGTGGAATAACTGAAGGTTCTAAATGTACAGCCAAGAGAAAGCCAGAATATGAAAGACTTTAGTTTGCAAAGAAAAAAAGGGATAAGAAGTTTCTCACAGGTCTTGGCCCACAACAAGGAAATAGACCCAACCCTGGAACAAATGGTTCCAGATGAGCAGCCCTGTCTGGGTCACACCTGGCCAATGGTCAGTCTGGGGTCTTTCCAAGGTACATTATATGGTTTTTCCTTTTTCCTTTAAAGAAGAACAGGTCATACCGGGGTGATCTCTCAAACATGAGATCATACTTTGTAATCAATCACCTTGTGTCCCATGCATGTATGCTGATTTGTGGTTTGTCCCTATAAAAAGGAGCCTGAAATCTTTGGGGGTGTGCAGCTTTCCCCGAGATTGCTGACACCCGAGTGCACTCGTTCAATAAACACCTCTTGCGTGTTGCATCTCCTGGTTTTGGTGTTTGTGTCTCAGGGCTCTCCCATCAGCCCATCAGGACCCCGGATTTAGGGTCTTACACTCTCAGCATTGGTGATTATAAAATTAAAAACCTTATCAAGGGGCTGAGGATATGGCTCAGTGAGTAAGTGTGTCTGCTTCATAAACAAGACTTTGAATCTCCAGAACCCGCATAGGAGTTGAGCATAACCTGTAGCCCCAGTGCTGTGGCGCAAAAATAGGTAGCTCCCAGGGGCTCACTTGCCAGTCAGCCTAGCTAAAACGTGAGCTCCAGATTCACCCAGAGGCCCTGTTTTACAGGGAAAAGGTATCCTTTAACTCACTACATAATCCAGGATGGCCTTGAACTCACAAAGATCTGCCTGCCTCTGGCTGTTGTATGCTGAGATCAAAAGTGTGCGCCACCACATATGGCCCAAGATTTATTTTATTTAATGTGTTTGTATATCTATCTATGTGAGTCTGTGCCATATGGGTTGGTGCCCGTGGAGGCCAGAAGAGGGCATGGGATCTCTTGGAACAGGTGTGACAGGTTAACTGGGCCCCATCTGACCTGTTTGTTGAGAACTAAACTCCAAGTCTCTGAAGAACAGTAAGTGCTCTTATTTTGTTTTGTTTTTCAAGACAGGTTTCTCTGTGTAACAGCCCTGGCTGTCCTGGAATTTGCTTTATAAACCAAGCTGGGCTCGAATGCACAAAGATCTACCTGCCTCTGCCTTCCAAGTACTGGGATTAAAGGTGTGTGCCACCACACCAGGTTAATAAATGCTCTTTAAAAAAAAAGTTTATTTTATATTTTTAAGTTTTATTTTATGTGTATGAGTACTCTGCCCAAATCTATGTATGTGCATCATGTGCCTGCCTGGTGCCTACAGAGATCAGAAGAGGGAATCGGGTGCCTTGGAACTGGAGTTAAGGATGACTGCAAACTGTCATGCAGGTGCCCAACAACAACTTGCGCCTCTCCTGGAGCCTACATCGCTTCTCCTCCAGCACACTCACTCCCAGGTCTCCCTGATCTCACTTTCCCGTTCTTCCCCAGGGTTCCACCCTTGCTGCTCTCAGACACTTGCCATGGAAGCCTAAAGGCATTGTTTTTCTTTCGTTTATTTGTTTTTCAAGACAGGGTTTCTCTGTGTATCCCTGACTGTCCTGGAACTAGCTCTGTAGACCAGGCTGGCCTGAAACTCACAAAGATCCGCCTGCCTCTGCCTCCCAAGTGCTGGGTTTAAAGACTTGCCAACACTGCCTGGCTAAAGGTACTATTTTTAATTTTAACTTTTTTTCTGTACTGGGGGTGGAAGCCAAGGTATTGCACACACTAGGTAAGTGTTGTACCACCAAGTCACACCCATTACATTTATTATTATTATTATTAGTAGTAGTAGTAGTTAAGAGACAGGGTTTCTCTGTGTAGCCCTTGCTGTCCTGGAACTCACTCTGTAGACCAGGCTGGCCTCGAACTCAAAGAGATCTGTTTGTCTCTGCTTCCCAAGTGCAGGGACTAAAGTGTGTGTCACCACTGCCTGGATCAACATTTTTTATTTATTTTCAACTTTTTTCTTAAGTCAGCACACCTTTCATCCCAGCACTGGGGAGGCAGAGGCAGGTGGATCTCTTTGAGTTCAAGAGCAACCTGGTTTACAGAGCAACTTACAAAAAGAACTCTGTCTAGAGGAAAAAAAAAAAAAAAAAAAAAAAAACCTCACAATAATTTCTCTCAGGGTCTTGACTGAGTAAGAACTATCGCTGCAAATAGGGACTGGATCCATTTGTCAACCTTTTTATAAAAACACACATTTTTGTTTCTTTCTTTCTTTCTTTCTTTCTTTCTTTCTTTCTTTCTTTCTTTCTTTAAGACAGAGTTTCTGGCTTTCTTGGATATCCCTCTGTGGACCAGGCTGACCTGGACCTCACAGAGATCCTCCTGCCTCTGCCTCCTGAGTACTGGGATTAAAGACATGCGTCACCACCACTGGCTAAAAATACATGTTTAATTAAAGTAGAATTACATTGCTTTCTCCCTTCCCATTCCTCCCTTCAGGACCTCCCAAGACTTCCACTCTCAAATGATAGCCTCTTTGTCTTTGATTACTATTGTTACATTCATACATATGTATACATATGTACATGTATGCACAAATATACACAAACAATGTATTGAGTCTGCTGTCCATTAACCTCCAACCTCAAGTGAACCTCATGGACCCAGAATCCTTTGCAGTTGTATTCAAAATGTTAGGCATGGGTGGGCAAGGGCATTTTTCAGAGGTGACTGCTTAGAGAGGTTCTAGCAGGCTCTCTTTGTATTATTTTTATATTTAAATTTTGACCGTATTTCCTCCAGAGTCCCCCCCCCCCACTCTCCCTTTTCTCCCGTTGTGTCTATTTCTAAGTCTCCATATGATAGCCTTGGATGTATGATCCTCCTGCCACAGCATCCCTAGTGCTGGGAGCACTCAAAAGACCAGAGGCAGGTAGATCTCTAAGTTCAAGGCCAGGCTGGTCTACAGAGCGAATTCCAAGACAGCAAGGGCTACACAGAGAATCAAAACAAACGGACAAACCCGAAACCACCACACCTGTGTCTAACACATTCTCACAGGAGCCGTGGGCCCCGGAGAGTGAAGGCCCCCTAACTGTAAGGTCCCTCAGGCTCTCTTCCTCTCCGGACCTACTTCCCAAGCATATTCTTCACCTCCACTCCTCAGACCTCACCCCGGGCTACCTTCCCCTACTCACTTGTGAAGAGGGATAGGAAGGGGGAGTCAATGATGGTGAACTTGGCTCCAGGGTCATTCCGTCTCCACTAGAATTAGAGAAAGGGCACAGACATTGCAGGATGCTGGGTTTGGGTCAGTGTTCAAGAGATCTGGGGAAGGTGGCGGGAGTGGGGGTGGGGAGGGGGATGAAGTCACTCACCGCGACCTCCACGTGGTCAGTGCCCTCATTGTTCTGCTTGTGGAGCACCTCAAAGTAGTACCTGAGGGAGGCTGATAAGCTGGCAGAAAGAGACCAGAAACAGCTTCTCCTCAACTGGTCACCTTGTCCACCTCTCCCACTACAAGTTCCCTGGTGCTCCTTTCTCCTCCCAAGAGCTTGCTATTTATCCCCCACCCACCCCTGACATCTGACCTCGGTTTTCTTTCTGCAAGGGCCAAATAAATATAAGTAATTCACAAGTCAGTTGGGGGACCCAGAGAAACAGCACTCAGGGTTAGGTCTTACTGAGCAGTTGTTGCATGCCAGGACCATCCTCAGTGCTTTGACTGACACCCCTTGGCTGGAAGGAGGAGGCACCATAATCTTTAGTAACTTGCCCAACGTCACCCAGGTAGTAAACAGTGGAGTTGTAGCTTAGACCAGGCAGCCTTGCTTTAGGGTCCACATCATCCACTGAGAGGACTCAGAATGCTCACACTAGTGTGACATGCAACAATGCCCTTTGCAAACTAGGTCTGCTTAAGGAGGTGTCTAGCCAGCATATGGTCTAGCCTATGACTGTGCCAGCCACTAGGTGGCAGACTGAAGCCGGACTAACTTCATAGACCAGTTACGCCATTCCAGCCACTGTGGGCTCCAAAAGGTTTGATTTCCCCAGGAGCACTTCAAAGTCACTCTTCTGTTCCTTCTCTGAAGCCCCAGAGCAACTACTAGGCAGTCTTCATGTGTGAGAGCATTTCTAGGTCTGGAGAGAAGGGGAAAGCAAGGACGGGAAGAAAGGACACCTGTTCTCTAATCTTTAGTGTCACTCAATATCTGCGTCCCTGGGCTTGAGTGGCCTCATCTCAGATGAGGAAGGAGACTGGAGAGACAGTTTGGAGTTAAGAGCGAGCACTGCTCTTAGAGGGCCCAGGCTCAGATCCCAGCACCCATGTGGTAGCTTACAACCACCTAGAGAACCAGTACCAGAGGATCCAATAACCCTCCTGCCCTCTGAGGGTACCAGACCCACACTGGCACAACCTCATGGGTGTAGGAAAAACACACTCACTTAAAAAAAAAAAAAAAGTCTAAAAAAGCATTTATAAAATGAGGAAGGGCAGCGCAGATCGAGTCTGTGGAGGCAGATCATGGGACATGAGTGACGAGCTGGTGGAGACGGTGGAGAGGCCCCCCCCCCAGCTCTCTCAGGCTCATAGTTCTGGCACTGGCGGGCACACAAGAGGACTGTGGCAACTCTCTCTACTCACCTCACTGGCTTGGAAATTTGACTCTGAAATTTCCCAAACTCTCCAGGGGCTGTCCATTCCTTTCCTGTCTAGAAGTGTGGGGAAGGAGAGAGGATGGGGGAAAGGGAAAGGAGAGACGAGAGAGAGAAAAAAGACGGAGTTAAGGAGGATGGCTGGCCACACACATATGCCCACTGATGGAAGGGAGCCTTCCCATAGGCAACCAGCCCAGCATGAATCTTCAGCATGGGGCTACGGGACAATGGAACCCAAAAGGTATACGCGGCTGGGTCCCCACTCTGGCCACATCTCACATGCCCTTTGTAGTATAGGGCAGAGATGAGGGGCACCATGTATGGCTTTTGTCCTTTCTTCACATTTGCGATGCTAATAGCCAAGGAGGTTCCCAATAGTCTCATATACCACATGACTGACTGCTCCAAGGGCCAATGAGAGACCAGGGGCCGAGCTGACCCTACCTTGCCCACACTGGCCAGCAGCTGAAGGCCCGAGACCTGGTCATCACGACTCAGCCAGAATTCAGCGTTGTCATCAGCAGCAATGGCAAACTGGATCTTCCCTGGGCAGTGGCAGGATGTCTAGGTGAGCCAAGGAGGGCCTTGGCACCAGGGCTGAAAGCCTACATTATACCTGAGCCTTGATTCCCTTCACTCACAGTATCTTACTGCCTCCCACCTTTGCATGGGGTGAGGGGGCGGGGGGATGACTACATTCTGGGGTAAATATGAAGATGGAGAAGACTTATGGAGGCTAGCCAGTTCCAGCTGTGTGAGAGAGAGAGACAGAGACAGAGACAGAGACAGAGACAGAGGCAGCAGCCTAAAGACATTGGGTGAGAGAGAGTTCACCATGCCTCAGCTTCCCCCTTGCTGATGGCTCAATGAAGCTGTATTTCCTACTGGGGCATACGTTTCTAGGACCTCCCTGAAGAACTCAAGAGCAGGAAGAAGGATGAGGCTTTGGGACTGCCTCACCATCGGTAAAAGGGTGCAGGTAGCCAAATACGCGGAGGCCATAGTTGGTCCACTTGGGGGATACAGCCAGCTTCCTCAGGGTTGTGCGGATCTACGTCGAGAAAGATGAACTGTTACTCAGGATCAGAAAGAAGAATTTAAGGAATTTGAGCTCAAGCTGCTCAAGACTGTTGAGAAGGCCAGGAAGGGAACAGGAGATGAGAGATTGGGGCGTGGCGTGGCGTGGCACGTGGAGGCCAAAATAAATGTCAGGTTCCACTTAGTTTTTGGTCCAGGTGACTTTGTACAGTACACAACATGTACATGTTGTCCTTAGATAAATACCAAGAGAGCCTTAACTAAAATGCTGCACAGTGGCAGGTTACAAGAGTCTCAGGGAAGGAGGAACAAGAAAGATATTCTAAACAGAGGAAGAGGGACCTGAGAGACCGGGGGGAATAATACCGACGGTAATGGACTGAGAACGGGCAGGGAAGGAGGCAGGTGGGACAGATGAGATGCAGGAGACACAGAGGATGGCGTGGGGATGGTGGGCAGACACCCCAAGGCACTTACATGGGGGTAGAGTGGGAAGTGCAGGTTCCTCCTGAGCTGTTGGATGGAGCTGCCACACCAGTCTTCAAACACGTGCAGGTTAGCACGGCCCCGGAACTGTGTGGAGCAGAGGGGAGACAATGAGTGAACAGGGGCAGCCTGCGCTCAGCCCTGGGGTGGGCGCTCAGCCCTGGGGCAGGCGGGCACAGTGCTTCCTGCATATTTGACGGAAGGCTTGGCTCCCAGCCCATGGTGCTATTGGGAGATGGTGGAACCTTTAGGACATGGGAATCTAGCAGGGGACAGTTAGGTCATTGGAGTGTCCCTGAAGGGGATACTGGGGGATCCCAGCTACTTTCTGTCTTTACTCGACTTTCCAGTCCTTTGCCACCATGCGGTACTCAGCTGTCACAAGCCCAAAGCAAGTAGGCCAAGCAGGCCTAGGCTTAAACCTCTGAAACCGTGAGCCAAGGCAATCCTTGCCTCTTTATGAGTTGGTTATCTCAGGTATGTTTGTCACAACAATGGACAGCTAATACCAGCCCTGTGGCCTGACTCTAAGGATGGCGTCATATATGCACACCTGCCTACAGAAACACACCACATAGTCCTCATCCCTTCCAGGCAGGAAGAGAGCTGCCTTGCATTCTGCAGGCACAGGCAAGGGGCATAACAGCCGTGGCAAAACGGCAGAGGCCACAGAGGGAACTAGGAGGGGCTTGGCTGGGTTCCAGCCAGGAGCTTGCCCACCATGCCTCCCTGTTCCTCATGGAAGGCCCTGCAGCAGTCTGCCTGTCGGGAAACCTTACCTACACAGTGGTCTTCACACTCTGGCAAGACTACGGCGGTATGTGGGGCCCCTCTAGGCCGTGCAGCACCGGAGCCTCCTGCAGCTCACACTCCTGGCCGCACTGCGTCGGCAGAGCAGAACTATCTGCCCCCCTCAGCTGTGGCATTGGAGGGGCACAGGCTCAGACCTGGAGCGGAGGCTCTCGCCCAAGGCAGGAAAAGACAACAGCCATACTCCAGGTGAGTGGAGGGGCTATGTTGAGGAAGGGAAGCAGGGGTGTATGGTCCCAGCCGGCCTACAGTTACTGCAGTCCATTTCCTTCCATAGTCCTTCACAAGAGCTGAGCCCATTCCACACGATGCCTCATCCACACACACAAACAGGTCCTGCCTGCCCCGCCCCACCCTGCCCTAACTGGAGCTTGTCAGATCCAAAATCTGAGTGAGTCTTAAGAAAAACATGGGCAGAAGTGGAATCCTTCACCCAGACTGAAGGACTCATTTTGGGTCATCTGGGCAGTGACGCAGGATGGGGTAGGAAGATGGCTCAGTTAGCACAGTGCTTTCTGCGCAAGCACAAGGGCCTGAGCTCCATCCCAGAAGTCACTGAAAGGGGTGGTATAAGCCTGGAATCCTAACATGGGGAGGGGAGAGACAGGAGGATCCCTAGAGCTCTCTGGCCAGCCTAGGTCTAACCGGGCAAGCCCCAGGCCAAAGAGATCTTATCTATCTCACAAATCAAGTTGGATGGCCCTGAAGAAGGACACCAGAGGTACAGGCACCAGCACACAGCACCTCCCACCACACAACTCTTTTTTGAAAGAGGTTTGTAGGGTCAGGGGAAGTGCTCTACAGGAAGGCTGTGGGTCTAAGTTAGGCTGCAATGGTGGGCAAGGCTTCACAGACACTGCCCCACTGCTGAACCCTGAAGACAGAGGCTAGCTTGTCACTCGCTGACCCTTATGCACACTAGCTGGGTCAACACTTGGAATGTGGGACATTGGGAAGTGGCCATCACTCACAGGAATGCAAGTAGGGGGCTGGGTGGGTGAGGAAGTGTGTGGGCTGGTAGGTGGGAAGCGGTTGACACTCCAAAGAAGGAAGAAAGGGGACATTATGCTGCCCCTAGGGAAATTCCTCAACTCCAGCTTAAAAGATTCCTTGTCTCCTCCAAGTGGTCTGCTTTTTGCCCTCTCTAGGAGAACCCCAAGTCAGAGAGCTCTGGTGCCCAGAAGAGCAGGGGATTAGAGGGGAAACAGCCGAGAGAGAGAGAGAGAGAGAGAGAGAGAGAGAGAGAGAGAGAGAGAGAGAGAGGGAGGGAGGGAGGGAGGGAGGGAGGGAGGGAGGGAGGGAGGGAGGGAGGGAGAGAGAGAGAGAGAGAGAGAGAGAGAGAGAGAGAGAGGCCTGCATCTAGGATGCCAGGCTTGGCACAAGAATGGGTTTGGATTGAAAGCAAGTTTTGGCCTGAGGGCAGGTAGACACCAACCCTGCACAGCCCCTCCCCAGGCCATCTAGCTTGGCCATGAGAGCCTGAGGTGCTCTAGGAATCCAGCAGGGTAGGCCAAGAGTGAATGAGAGAATTAGCCCTTTCTCTAAGGTAGACCTCACCCAGCATTTGGCTGAGTCTCAGACCTTTGTGTCTTGGAGACCCTTGAACACTGTCTTCCTCCCCGACTCAAACTGACAACTACACCAGAATTTGTGTTACTCCATTTTAGGGACTTGGAACTAACAAGGACGTGGCACTCTGGCACACCAGCCTTAGCTGTGGGCCCCTGTCCTTTGCATAGCATAGTCAAAAGGCCAGGAAGCAGAGGGCTTCCTCCAAGCTTTAGTTGCGATGGTTTGGGACTTGCAGTTAGCTGTGGTGGAGAAAGTGTCTATCGGATGGTCTCATTTAGAAGAGGGGTTATCGGGGCTCAGGAAGTGACTCCCTGAGAACACACAGCAATTGCTCTGTGAGATGGAGGGTGCAGAAGTCCCTGCCTCTGCTGGACCTTCCGGGATTACCAGGCCAACATGTGGCATGTGCCCTAAGTGGATGACAGCATCTCTCCTGCACTGAGTCCTCTTACAGCCTCCAGGACTGTTCTGAAGCAACTTGAGGCAATTGCAGATCTTTACTGGCCTGCCTTCCCCCACCACACACACCCTCCCTGCCACACCTACCCACACCTAACTTCCAGCTTTTGTACAAAACCATCCAGCTCTCCACTTCCCCTGATTTCCCAAATACTGTTTCCTGATCAGGCCCTGTGCTTCCTTCACCACATGGCAGAGTCTTGTTTACTCTTCCAAAGTTTTCTCAAATACTTCCGAGGCCCTCCGTGTCTGCCCAGGAATGAGCTAACAGCTCCTTCCCATGTCCCAGCATATCTGTATTGGAATGACGCAGGCTTGTAGAAGCTGAATTCAGAGCAATATATTTTGCTACTGAGTGCTTCACGCAATTCATGTGTTCACTGTGCAATCAGATGAGAGAGGGTGGAATGCAGCTCAGGGGCATAGCACTTTCCTGGAGAGAAGGAGAGGGGGAGAGAGAGAGAGAGGAAGAGAGAGAGAGAGCTGAAGGAGAGAGAGAGAGCTGGAGGAGAGAGCGAGAGAGCGCTCAAATCAAAGACTAGGACCTGAGGCGAGGCGTGCAAATGGTGTCACTTGTGTTTAGGGCTGTTGCAGTGGGACAGAGGGGCAGGAGAGATAGGATGCCTGGACTGTGGGCACTGGCTGACCCTTGCTGTAGCTGTTGCTCTGTCACAAGCCCAGAGCACCTGGTGGATGGTTCAGCTTGGGACCAGTGAGGCCTTCTCTGACCTTAGTGTGCAGCCAATCAGCCACCGGTTCCTATACACCGGGTTCCTGGACAGCATTCGGAACTTGGTCTACTCCTCCCCACTTTTATTTTTTAGACAGCACTGGGAACAGAATCTGGGGTCTCATGCCAGCAAGACAAGCACTACCAGTAAGCCTACTCTTGAGCTGACAGTGGTCCCTGTGGAATGGAGGGGCTCCTGATGCTAGAAAGATAAGGGCCTTGATGAAGGCTGGAGGCCCATTCTGTGGGAAGTTATGGGTGAAACTTCCCCATTCAAACAGAAGGGTCTTAAGGAACTGACGTGCTACAGCTGTCTCACCGTGTCACCAAGGTGTGGGGGAGATGAGACAAATTGCAGTGACGCTAACCTGGGCTCCGAAAACAGGAGAGCCCAACCCACAGCAAATCTTACCCAAGCATTCATAGCAGGATTTAGTCAAAGTGACCCCCAGATTAGCAACAATCTGTTTACCAACAGAGGAAGGGATAATAAAATGTGGAATATAGTTCTCCCTGACTCCACACCATCCTCCCAGGAGCTTCTGCTCCATGACAGCCAAGTAGAGGGAGAAGCAAATGTGTAGGTCAAAGTCAACAAAAGAGACTAGCAGATGGCTAAGTGGATGGACATCTGTGCCCTGCAAGCCAGGGAGCTGGAGCGGCCATCTAGAATGTTCCTCTTAGTGATTTAGAACTCCTATGACCATTGCATTACCAAAGCCCACTTTGGTAGGATCAAGACAGTCTCAGAAGAGTTGTCTTGGACCCTGTAACACTCTATTCTTAGTAATTTTTTTAAAAGATATATTTACTTATTCTGTATACAATGTTTTGTCTGCAGGCCTGAATAAGGCACTAGATCTCATTACAGATGGTTGTGAGCCATTATGTGGTTGCTGGGAATTGAACTCAGGACCTCTGGAAGAACAGTCAATGCACTTAACCTTTGAGCCATCTCTCCAGCCCCTATTCTTAGTTATAAATGCAACACATGGACAATAACTCATCCCTTCTGCTGTCTCAGCTGGAGAAGTTTTAGTGTGTGGCTTACCATGCGATGCCATCTTACACTGCTATGAGGAATGAATTCTGCAAACCCATCTGAGTGAAAGAAGCCAGATCCAGCAGGACGTATTTCATGATTCCATTTCTATGAAGTATCCAGGACAGGCAAATGTACAGCCAGGAAGTAAACAACTTTGCTCTTACAGAGGACATGGGTTCAGTCCCCGGCACTCACATGATGGCTAATAACCACCTATGACTCTAGATCTGGGGATGTGGCACCCTCTTCTGACCTCTGTGGGCACTAGGAACACATATGGAGTACATACACACATTTGGCAAGACACTCATATATACCCATAAAATAAAAATTTTTTAAAAATATAAAAAAAGTAGATGGCTCTGTACCCAAGGAGGGGACAAGAGTCTGGTGATGGGGGATGGGCTGGGAATGCAGGGCTTTCTCTTGCTTTTTTGAGACATCTCATGTAACTCAGGCTGGTTTCAAACTTGCTATGTAGCCATTGGTGAATGTAAACTTCTGATCCTCCTGCCTCCACCTCCTGGGTAATGGGATTACAGGTGTGCGGCACCATGCCCAGTTTACACAGTTGCAGACTGCACCCAGGGGCTTTGTGCATGCTAGGCAAGTACTTTACCAACTGAGCTACAACCCCAGCCCTGGCTCCATTAGTCTTTATTTGTTTATTTAGTGGTACTGTGAATTGTATCCAAGGCCTCATGAATTTCAAGCAGATGCTCTACCACCAAGTGACTGAGCCAGCCAGACATGGAGACTTCGAGGAAGCACAACTCTGTTAACACACTGAAAGCGACTGGACCACACACTGTGAGTGCATGACTTGTAAGGACTATGAAACGGATTTCAATAACATTTTGTTATTGTTTTGTTTTGGTTTTAGAGACAAGGTCTCAACATGTGGCCTAGGCTATTCTCAACCCAGAGGGATCTACCTGCCTCAGACTTTTGAGTGCTGGGAGATACCTACCATGAGGCCTCTCTCCAAATTTTTTTTTTTAAAGCAGTAACCATGGCCAGGGAGATGCTTCGGTGGTAAAGTGCTTGCTCCACAAGCCAAACCTGAGCGCCATCTTCAGCCACATGAAAAGCCAGTGCAGGAGACCAAACCTGCAACCCAGGCAGGCCTACTGTGAGATGGGAGTCTGCAATCCGGGCAGGCCTACTGTGAGAGGTGGGAGGTGGAGGATCCCAGCAGTCCTTCTGTGAGATGGAAGAATCACCCAGAGCTAGCCTAGAGCTCACTACAAGGCAGAAATAAGAGACCATGATCCTATAAGGAGGAAGATGAGAACTGACTGTTAAAAGTTGTCTTCTGCCCTCTGCCTCTGAAATGTAACAAGCTGAGTGTAGTGACAGAAGCCTGTGATCCTGAGACAAGGAATCACTGTGAGTTCTAGGATATCTTGAGCTAATATAAGCTCTAAGCAGCTTTAGGCTTCATGTCTCAAAACACCAAAACAAAGGAACATTAAAAAAAAAAATCTTGAAACAATGTGTAGGCTCTGGATTAAGTTCTGGAAACAAAATGCAACAAAAAACCCAGGTCTCTGACCTGCACCTGTCCACAAGTGAGACGCATCATCTACCAGAGTTGTATAGTAACTCTGCTTAGGTCAGCTGTGTTCACCAAGTTTCTAGCTTGTAATTATTTTTGTTTAGGGCAACGACCCAGATTGACAGAGTGTACCAATGGACCTGCATACTGACCAACAGATGAAACGGCTGTCCCTGGAGTTTGCTAGTGGACATGGAAGGTTTAAGGACAGCTAATCCATGCACCCAGTCCCAGCTGTCCATTCCGCTAAGTCCTCTCTGCCACACCAAGGCTAAGGCTGCTGCTGCCTCTTTGAATGACTCTGGCCTCAGAGCAGACAGGCAAAGGAATGACTTTCCATTTAGTCCTTGTTCACTTAGAACAAGACTCCCCACTAACTGCAGCTTCTCAGACATACTGCCTACAAAGACGGTGAGTACCCCTAATCTGAGAGCCACTGAGCCGAGCACACACAAGTCCCCGTAATGGGAGGGATGGGGAAGCTGGGCTGCAGTGGATGCTACTCATCTCTTTGGCTTAGAAGGATTCCCTAAAGATCTATAAAGACTGAGGATTTTAAATCCTTTAATGTTTAAAGATGAAATCCATGGAAATCAGTCATTTACTACTAACAGATCACCCACTATTTCTTTAAAAAGGTCAATCCTGACCAAGTGTGGCACATGCCTTTAACCCCAGCACTCAGTAGGCAGAGGCTGGCTCTTTGAGTTCCAGGCCAGTCAAGCCCTCTTTTTATTTAAAAAAAAAGGAGAAAGAAAGGAAGAAAGAAAGAAAGAAAGAAAGAAAGAAAGAAAGAAAGAAAGTCAATTCCAGGACAGATACGGTAGGATTTGATGGTGGCAAATGCCTATAATCCCAGCATTCAGGAAGCTGAGGCTGGAGGATCATAAATTTCAAGTTAGCCTGAGACCCCTATCTCCAAAATGAGAGAGAGAGAGAGAGAGAGAGAGAGAGAGAGAGAGAGAGAGAGAGAGAGAGCGTACAATGAGTTCCTGCTAGAAGTGGTGACATGTGCCTGTAACCCTAGCACTTGGGGGATGAGGGCAGAGGACTAAGAGGAGTTCAAAGTCATTCTCAACTAGACAATGAGTTCAAGGCCAGCCTGGTCTACAGAGTGAGTTACAGGACAGCCAGAGTTGTTAGACAGAGAACCACTATTTTGAAAGAAACAGCAAAACAAGCAACAACATAAGGAAAGGAAAGGAAAGGAGGGAGGGAGGGAGAGAGGGAAGAAGGAAAGAAGGAAGGAAGGAGGGAAGGAGGGAGGGAGGGAGGAAGGAAGGATGAGTCTAGCTGCCCCCAGAGAAAAGGCTGGATCACCAGGACCACCTGCTCTTTTTTACAGCACAGCTCAGCATACTGTCTCCTATTGTCTGATGATGTCAACTAGAACAACTGTGCCAGCATCGTAATCCATCCTCACTCTGGGCTTTAAAAAGAGGCAGTCTCATCAAGTAAGTAGAGGAGCTAACATTGTCTCTTTCTCTCTTGCCCTTAAGTGGGTGGGTTGGAAATAAAACCACCCAAGCTGCAAGATCAATCTGTAATAGGAAGAATAAAGACAGTAGACTGGCCTACACCACACAGCCAAGAAAAGTAGTCTCTACCGAGGGCTCCAAGCTAGAGGTCCTGGGTTCTAAACACACTGTAAAACATGATTTCCCAAAGCACCATGCGTACTAAAGGTAATTTGTATGTGCTCACACACACACACACACACACACAAAGAAAAGAAGAAATCAATGTCTTTTGGTAAACAGTATCGTGATGGCTGCGGTTTTGTAAAGAGACAGGCTGTTTCTTTGCTGCGTGGCTCAAGTGATCACCCCGCTGTACCCACTGCACCTGGTTATGATTTTTGGCCCCATAATAACTGCTTTCTGAAGCAGATTCCTAATGCATGTTCCTTTAGAACATTGGTGGCTCCAAATATTAACAGGCATTCATGGAAAAGGCAGTTCAGGGGCAGATAAATCTGGGACATGCTGAGCTAAACCAAGCTAAACAGATTTCCCCAGGACTTCTCAGAATCTTTCATATGTTAATGTGAATTTCCAAGAACAGTTGTCCTGTAGAGTGGGGTTTTGGTCTGGTTTTTTTTTTTTTTTTTAAAGTTCACTTAACAATGGATTCCTTTCTTCCTGGAAGATCTTAATGGTTTGAGAGAGCACTCTTGGGGAAGTTGTTATCTTTAAGACTGGGGATTGGCAAGACTATGAAAGCCATGTAACTTCCCCAGACACAGCTTTCCCACCTATAAAATAAGGATAAAGACTGTTAACGTTTGAATCTACAACGTCCCTGAAATGTCCCCAGGACACAGCCTTCGGTGCTATTGTGACAGGCAAGCTTAAAGAGGCACCTAAAGGAAACGGGTCCTGCTGCTGGAGGGGGAGTTAGGACCAGCCCCTTCCCCTCTTCCTTTGCTCTCAACCACCCTGAAGTTAGAATAATTCTCCAGCTCAACCATGCTGTGCTATACTTCAAAGGTCCAAAGTAACAGGAGGAACGCCCATGAGCCAAAATAAACCTTCCTCCCTGTGAGTCCATTCTGTCAGGTGTTCGCTAGCATGCCAGAGTTGACCATGATTCCACCTTACAGGGGCAAAGCCGCTGATGTGAGATGATGCGCAGAGCGTGGCACACAGTAGGCCTGCAGCAAATGTTTGTGCTCCTCTAATGGAGAAAAATCTAATGAGTCTAGAGGTAACCATTTTAATACAGCAAGAATCACAAGACAGTCTTTTGAGGCCCCTGTGTTTCGTCTGTTTAAGCTTCTGTTAAAGACCAGGGTCAGTAGAGTTCCTTACCTCAGAAAGCCAGGGCACAGGCTTGTTCCACTTCAAGTAGCTACTGTTCCTACTCCTACTTCGGGAAATGTCTTGGTCCTATCAGAAGAACAAAGAATGAACTTGGTGAATATATTGTTAAAACAAAATTGAAGATAGGACAGTATTCTGGGCTCCTTAAAGATGCCCCTGGGGAAGTTGGGGGTTATGGGACACAGCCCCTGTCCCTAGGAAGTTTGTCAGCTTAAGAGACACTTTTGTTGGCTGGAGAAATGGTTCAGTGGTTAAGAGCACTGGCTGCTCTTCCAGGGGGCTGGGGTTTGACTCTCAGCACCCACATGGCAGCTCACAACTGTCTGTAACTCCAGTTTCAGGGAATCTGACACCCTCACAGAGACATACATGCAAGCAAAACACCAATGCACATAAAATGAAGATGAATAAATTATTAAAAAGAGACACTTTCATTCATTATTTACACTATGTTGCTTAGGAGAATATCTCAGGCTTGTCAACATGCAGTCCTGAGGTCTACTCACATCCCTGAAGTTTTTCAGCCTGCTACACAAGAAAAAAATTGACTCTGGACCCTCTTGGGACAGGAACTGTGACTTCTTATTCCTCCAACACCCCCTCCTGCCCCAAGTTCTATCCAGATTTGTCACTGGTCTCAACAAAGGAGCCTCTCAAAGACACCCCAAGTCTTCCCTACCACACACATCTATAGATTTACTTTGGTGTTGCCCAGCTTTGAGGTTCTGTGTCTATTTTTGGCTCAACTGTTTCAGGGGTAGGGTTCAAATTGGAATGGTCCCCAGGTTCCCTAATCAGCCACCTGAGAAACACTATAGGGAAATGCTCCATGACCAACTATACCCCAGCCATTGGCAGGGAGGGCATTTGTCTCCTTTATCACCTCTGGCTATCAGCACCATGTTATCAGATACAGTCCTGTCTCCTGAATATTATGGCTAATATGCAGAAAACACTGTGTGTGTGTGTGTGTGTGAGAGAGAGAGAGAGAGAGAGAGAGAGAGAGAGAGAGAGAGAGCTGTAGGTCACAATCCCTGGGGGTGGAATGACCCCTTCATAGGAGTCCCATCCTACATATCAGGTATTTACATTTCAATTATTAACAGTAGCAAAATTATAGATATGAAGTAGCCACAAAACAATATTATGGTTGGGGGTTACCACAACATGAGAACTGTATTAAAAGGGTTGCAGCATTAAGAAGGTTAAGAACCACTGGCTTTGAGGGAGGCAAGATAGATACCTGCACTCATCTAGAGCTTCTTAGAGGCTAGAATGGGCTTCTCCCAGATGTCTCCCCCCCACCCCCTGCACATACCACAGAGAAGGAAATTTCCCTTAAGGCCATAGAGCAACTGAGGGCAGCAGAAGGTCCTGGCTGATCTAGCGGCAAGGGGTTGGGGGTGGGGACCTGCCACATACCTTAAGGCTCAGCCTATGGGAAGAATAGAATTGGAGGTTTGGATCAACAGCTGGGATATTCCTGTTGGCCAGGGCCTTGGCCAGTTCTCTCCAGCTGCCATACCCTATGAAAGGGAAAGAAGAGAAAGACAAGGTCAGCTTAATTCAGGAGCCTGTAAATCAGTGCGGTTAGGGAGGCAGAGAGGGGAGAGGGCCCACTTCAAAAGGCAGGCAAGGCAGGGGCAGATAAAATGTAGCCACAGTCCCTGGGGCAAAGGGTGGGAAAGACTGCTCCCTTCCCTAAGTCAGAGAAGGAACTCTGCCAGGTGAACTGAGCTATGGTCACGTACTGTGGGGACCATACAGCATGAGTCGTACCCAGTTGCACATGATGGGTGATTTCTCACAAAAGGCACAGTAGGGCAGCAGTGGGGATGGACGTGGGAGGGGAAAGGGGCACACTTCTTTCTGATCGCTAACCACCATGGGATTGCTGGGTAGAACCAGAGCTGGAGGAGGCAGGAAAGACTGAGCCAGGGCCGTGGTGTTTGTCAAGCAAACTTAGAGGACCAGCCAGCTGGTCCTGAGCGGATCTGAAGGCTGTATGGGACTCCCTGATGCATGCTCTGGAACTGGTTAGCTTGCACACATCTGAGGAGGCAAAAAAGCCAAACCATGGTGGTGGTGGGAGAGGGGGGCAGGAACAGGAAAGGGTTGATGTGCAAGCAAGCATTCTTACACAAATGAAGAGGCAAGGAGTGGCAGTGGGTAAGAGTTAGAGCCCAGTGGTCAGTCTGTAATTCACTAGATGCCAGGGCCTTCTTGACAATAAAGAGATCTGTTGGGCAGAGCTATTTGCTTTAAAATAAGTGAGCCTACAACACTGTAGGCTGTGAATCAGAACTATCAACCAACCATCGGGCCAGTTTTTTAATTAATTAATTAATTATTCTTATTTTATATATGGATCCCAGTTCCCTTTCCCTCCCTCCCTCCCATGCCCCTGACCACCCTCCCATCCCACCCCCCACCACTCCACAGGGAGGGTGGTGCCTTCCAGGAGGGGTCAACAAAGTCTGTCAAGTCATTTGGAGTAGGGACTAGGCCCTTCCTCCTTCCTCTAGGTTAAGGGAGTATCCCTCCATAGGGAATGTGCTCCCAAAGTCCTTTTGTGCACCAGGGATTCATCCTGGTTCCACTGTCAGAGGTCCCTTAGACTGCCCAGGCCTTCTAATTTAGACTCATGTTCAGGGGGTCTCCATCAGACCAGTTTTTAAGATCACTTCATCCTCATCAAAAAAAAAAAAGGGAAAAACAAAACAACAACAAACACTTAAGCCAGGCAGATACTAGTGGCACACGCCTTTAGTCCCAAAATTCAGGAGGCAGAGGCAGGTGAATCTCTGAATTGGAGACCAGCCTGGTCTACAGCGTGAGTTCCAGGACACCCAGGGAGAAACCCTGACTCAAAGAAAAGAAAGGAAAAAAAAAAAAAAAAAAAGGGACCAAGACTGAAATACAAATCCAGGGTCACAGAAGTAATAGTAACAAGGCTAGAATGAGAACCTGAGTGGGCTGCTTCATTAAGATACCCTTGTGGGGATGGGCCGCAGCTCGGTTCTGGAGTTCATGCCAGGCACAACACAGGTACTGCTTGGAAGGAGTCAGAGTGATGCAACACATCGGGGAGGAAAAAAACAAACCTCCACATAAAAGGAGTTTGACAGTCACCCCCCCACACACACACACCCAACTGGGAATCAGCAGTTGGCACAAGGGTCACAGGGTCCCTATGTGAGCACCACAGGGACACAGCTAACTAACAAAACCAGGATAAACAGCTAAGCGCAGTGGCAGAAGCCTAGAACACATCAGTCTAAGGGAACTAAGGTGAGATTAGACCAGGCTGGGATACATAGCAAGACGGTGTCTAGGCAAAACAAAAACAACCACAGAGTACAACAAAGAGTATGGACCACACAGAAGGTGGATATCACCTGTGCAAGAGTGCTGATGATTGCAGGGGTGGACACAGAGTCACAGACTGGAGCGTGGCACGGGGGGGGGGGGGGGGGGATGCTTTTCTTAAGTAGCTGTGGCTTGCATTGAGGACGCATCTCAGAGGTGTGGCTTCATGGGAGCCTTTTAAGATACTGAAGTTAGGTCAGGTGTGATCATTCTCATCTTACAGATGGAGAAAGAGGAGCTTGGAATTCTGAGTCACAGATCTACTTGTCACCCAAGATTAGAGAAGGCAGCCCTTACAAGCCAATGTCTGTCATCATTTCTGCTTTCTCCCATGGCCTCTCTTTAGCAGAGCTTTGAGGAGTGCCGGACTCGGAGGTCTTAGCTATGGATCTGGGCCTTGGGTTACTACACAGATACTCAGTCACACAGTTATGAGAACGTCTGGCCTCCGAGGGTACATTCACAGATACACAACTTAAAAATATATATAAATTTCAAAAATTACCCCCCCAACACTGTGTGTGTGTGCGTGCGTGCGTGCGTGCGTGCGTGCGTGCGTGCGTGCGTGCGTGTGTGTGTGTGTGTGTGTGTGTGTGTGTATCTATTCCCTTTGAGAGGTCTCTCCATGAACCTGACATTCAAGTTTTCTCATCTAGACTGAAAGCCAGCAAGTGCCAGCAATGCTCCTGTCTCCATCCCTCTGCCCATGTGCAGGACTCCCAGTTTACTACCTGATGCTGGGATCTGAACTCTGGTTCTCATGATTGCACAGCAATTGCTCTAAAATCCCCTTGACTTTAGAGGGACCCTGTTAGGCTAATTTGGCTACACTGCTCTTAGTGCCTCTTCTTGGTAACTGAGCATTGATTGTAAATACTGGTTTCCTGGCTGTACTCAGAACTGAATTCAGGTCTATACTAAGAGAAGAATTGTCACTGGCACCAGTTCTATTCCTTTTTAACCGACGGCTCTCTCTGTGGCCAAGGTAGTACTAGTGAGAAAAAGACAGGAAACTCAGTGAAGTTAAACCTAGAGGTCACAGGTATGTCTACATGGTTCTGCGGTAACGGAGATCTGGATGGTCAACATCGTAGGCTTTTGGGTGACGGGTCTAAGTAAGTACACATGCACCTTCCAGCTGTAAAAGCTTGAGCTAATCACTGCCCCTCTTTATCGCTGCTTTCTTCACCAGGATGAACAGAAGCACCTGCTCCATCCGCCAGGCCTGCTATGAGTACTGAATTACATGTGTCCGATTCACAAACTGCTTGATACACATCTCTTTCCTCCTAACTGTTCATGAATTGGGGGTTTGGATTTGTGAGTCAGGGGATAGGAATCCCAAGTTCTTTTGAATTGTATAAACTGCTAAGAGTCTCTCCTTGCTTACTGGCCAGAGAGCAAGCAGACAGGGCGCAGGAACTTGGTGGCATAGCAATAGATATGTCCTCCCCGCTCCATACTTTCCCCATGGCCCCGCCAGTGTTCACTAGGCAAACACTCTATGCCAGGCACTGGGCCCTGTATTTGGATCCTCTCCATCTCTGTGTCTGCATCAATCCTGCCAATGGAACCCAGCCCATTGCTTAGCCCTGTAGGGGCAATTGGAGCTAAAGAATGTGCTGATTGAATGGCTGACACTTGTCACTTGTCCCCTGCTTCTGGCTGAACCTCTCCTTGCAGAACACCAGCTGCCAGGGCCTGGTCCTCCTACAGCAGGTGTCACATTTATGTCAGGAGACAGACACCCGGATCTCAGGTATCAGATGAAGCACCACCGTGGGCCTCATACTCTGCCCTCACAAAGCTGGGCTATCAAGTTCACCATCAGCCAGAGCTTTGCCAACATCCCTCCTGGGGGCAATAGAGACTTCAAAGGCCTGGAGATTACCATCCTGGCTCTTTGTGAGGCTATAGCACATATATCCCTCAGTATCATTTTTCAGACTCTAACATATGTTAACTTCCACTGCCTCCTCTTACCCTTTCTCTTGAAATAAGAAAAACAAAACAACAAAAAATGGTATGATTATGAGCCCAAGGTCACACAGTGAAACGATAACCCACATGAAGCATCCAGTGCCTGTGACAACTCAATCTTCAGCATCACTTGTGCTGCAGGTCAGGAGCTGTCAATCATTTCCCTGGACCTTCATCCAATACTCTTGCCCCTAGAGCGTGTGGGTGCCAGGGCCAATCACACAGGAGAGTGGGAAGGCTGAGGCTGCACTGATACCACACAGATCCACAGTGGGACTCCAGGCTTGAGCTCCGACTCCATCCCAGGGGCTGAAAACACTTAAATGCATTTTCAACTTAACAGTTAAGGGCTGGAGATGGGGTTTAAGTTAGTACAAAGTGCTTGCCATCATGGAGGTCAGTGTGGAGCCTTTGCCAGTGGTGTACAAGACCCTGGGTTTTATCCCCAGCAAATCAAAAATTAATTAATTAATCAATATGCATACATACATATATATACATATGTGTATGTATATGTATACACACACACATATATGATGTATACAGTGTTCTCTCTGCATGTATGTCTGCAGGCCAGAACAACTTAAGAAGTAAAAAGCCAATGCTACATTTGCATGTCAGTATAAATTCCTAAAGCTTAATAATAAAGACCTGAACTAACTGGCTGACCCAAAGCACACTCCCTTCCAGGCCACCACGTAAGTATGTGTCCAAAATGGCTCAGTGGTTAAGAGCATTGGCTGCTCTTTTGGAGGTCTGAGTTCAATTCCCAGCACCCACATGGTGGCTCACAACTATCTGTAATGAGAGCTGGTGCCCTCTTCTGGCATGCAGGCATACATGCAGGCAGAACACTGTGTACATAATAAATAAACAAAAATCTTCTTAAAAAGTATGTTCAAACATCTACCAATGTTCAACCAGACTTCTGACAAGCTTGTAGAAATGTGTATTGCTTTTTGCTTCTGAGTAACTACAAGAATGCTACTAATAGCAGCCAACATTAATGAGCACTTATTATATGCAAAGCACCATGCTAGGAGGTATGGCCTTGGCTTTTGGGTTGTTTTATTGTTATTTTTGAAACAGAGTCTCACTTTGTAGGCATGACTGGCCTGCAGCTTGCCATATAGATTAGGCTGGCTTCTGCTTCCTAGGTGCTGGGATTAAAAGTGTG